AGTGGCTCACTTATTGCCGGCGCAAACGACGAATTAGCTTCTCAGTCAGCTGTTTTTGGCGCAAAGTATGAATTGATTAGCGCAAGGAACAAGAACCGAGTTAAGATGTAGTTATTGCACGCACAATTATTGGTTATATGGGTAATTTAAATTATTTTGTCTTTCGGTACAAAATTTCGCAATTCTACTATCAGCTGTGATTTAATATAACTGTTAACGATCTACGACATATCGATGTATTGAATGGCTTATTAAATTTAGCGATCAACGATATATCAATGCATAGAATGGGCTACCATTTACAACCCTGAAATTTCACCTTTTCCATCGCTATAGGAGAAAATTTGGCGGCATTCAGACAGAAAAATTGTAACAATTCGGGAATAAGTTCATTTAATATGTGAAGTTTCTGTTAATGTTTCCTGATTTCAAGTGCCAGCACTATAATGACGAATATAAACGGTATAAAAGAAGTGTACGAAGTTTGCCGGGCACAAGAGCTATAAATTGTAGCTGCAAGATCGTGCTGTAACATGCACCGTGAAAAGTAGGCCGAATCTGAAAGGAATTCGTAAAGTGCTTATTTATACGGATATTACTGCCTTGAACAGAAATAGAATGTGTATAACTCAATGCCAACAGGATCGGGCAATCGCTATGCCTTCGGCATCCAGGCTTGATGTGCATATATAAGTTGTTTTTCGCCACTGCTGGCGCTGATAAAAAGTCACATGGATTACCTGTTAAATGTATTTGTTCTCACAATACCGGTGCAGCAATAAACAAAACAATTGTTTTTATTCGGCATATCCATGGACAGCAATATTCTTGGCTGTTTTTGTATTCAAATTCGGAAGAAAAGTTGGCAGCACGTTGCCACAGTGGAATTATTGTGTACGCTAACGAAAATTATCAGCTCAGTCAGCTTTTGGAGGAAAGTATGAATTGATCAAAGGTAAGAACAGATCATTCCGTGGCTATTTATTATTATTAGATATATTCGCAATTTTACATTATTTTTGCCTTGTAATGCATGATTGCTATCAGCTGTGGTTCAAAGTCAATGTTAGCGATGAGCGATACATCGCTATTGAATGGGCTATCGCTTACAACCCTGGAGCATCGCTTCTTCCATCGCTATCACAGCTGTTTTGGCGGCATTCACGCCGAAAAAATACGCAATAATTCGGGAATGTGAATTCATTTATAATGTGTTATTTCTGTTAATTTTGTATGATTTTAAGTGCCAGCGTTATAATGACGGATAAAAGTGGTATAAAAGAAGCGCTCGAAAAGTTTTTTGGCCACAAGAGCTTTAAGTCGGAGCTGCAAGAGCGTGCTGTCACATGCGCCGTGAAAAGTAAGCAGAACCTGAAAGGAGTTCGTAAATTACTTATTTATACGGATATTTCGCCCTTGCAGAAAAACAGGATGTGTATGTGTCAATGCCAACAGGATCGGGCAAATCACTGTGCTTTCAGCTGCCAGGCCTGATGTGCGAGGATCAGTTGACGATTGTTTTTTCGCCGCTGCTGGCGCTGATCAAAGATCAGATCGATCACCTGGCCAAGCTCAAAGTGCAGGCAGATTCGCTGAACTCGAAAATGAGCAGCAAGGAGCGGGAGCGTGTCATTATGGATCTGCGGGCCGTCAAGACTAAGATCAAGTTCCTGTATATAACGCCCGAGCAGGCAGCGACCAAGTTTTTTCAGGAGTTGCTCCACTCGTTGTACAAACACAAGAAGTTGGCCTATTTCGCAGTTGACGAGGCTCACTGCGTCTCCCAGTGGGGTCATGACTTTCGGCCTGACTATCTGAAGCTGGGCGAGCTGCGTTCCAAGTATCCGGATGTGGTTTGGCTGGCGCTGACGGCAACGGCTTCGCTGGAGGTGCGCGAGGACATTCATAAGCAGCTACGATTACGCCAGCCCGTGGCGCACTTCAGTACACCCAGCTTTCGGTCCAATCTCTACTACGATATTGTGTACAAGAACTCCATTGAGGATGACTTTCAACATTTGGCTGCCTTCGCCCAGCACTGTCTGGGTGATGAAGCCAAGTTTAAGGCCGAGCCAAAGCCAAAGCGAGGCTGTGGCATCATCTATTGTCGCACCCGCGATCAGGTGGAACGGGTCGCTGTGGGCGTATCCAAGCAAGGCGTCGGCGCCGTGGCGTACCATGCGGGGTTAAAGACCGCGGAGCGCACTGAAGTCCAGGAGGCTTGGATGCGCGGCGATCAGCCCATTATCTGTGCCACCAACAGCTTCGGTATGGGCGTGGACAAGCCCAGCGTTCGCTTTGTCATCCACTGGGATGTGCCGCAAAATGTCGCCGCCTACTATCAGGAATCAGGTCGCGCGGGTCGCGACGGCCTTCAGTCATACTGCCGTCTCTACTATGGACGCGAGGATGTGCGCTCCATACGCTTTTTGCTGCAAAACGATGCGCAGCGCGCTCGGGGTCGTGGTGATCGCGAGCTGCTCACTGAGCGCGCCCTGCGGCAGTTCGAGCGCATTGTGGATTTCTGTGAGCAGACGCGTTGCCGGCACAAACTCTTTGCCGATTACTTCGGCGATCCCACACCCGATTGCAGCGCTCAATGTGATGTGTGCAAGAGACCAAAACAAGCTGAGAAAGCACTGGAGACGTTTCAGCAGCTCTGCATGGATGCCAGCTTCAAGTCGCACGTGTCACTTGCGGATTGCGCCGATCTCTATGAGGGTATGTTTAGTGCTAGGATTCTTTGTAACTCTTCTAATACGTTGGCTCCGTCTTGGCATTTTAGGTGGCCGAGCGGGAATCAAACGCGCAGCTCAGGATTATGCCAGTGATAGCTCTGACCAAGACTCTGAACACAGTCACGCGGCTCTTGCGAAACGAGCCAAAAAGGAAAATGAGAACTTTATCCGCGAACAGTTTAAGCTGCGCAAACAGCTAAGCGCTGCACGCCAGCTGGAGCAGGAGCCAACCACGCAGATAGCGCGTGTGCATCAAGCGCAGTCGACAGAGACAAAAATCAGCGGACTGCAGCACACGAACCGAGAGAAATACCTGGATGCCATCATAGATGCACTTAAGGCAAATGTGCAGCAGTGTGAGAGCGACTCAAGCCAGCAGCCGCGTAGCGTTCTAAGACACAACGACTACGAGGCCATCGCTGTTGAGCTTGAGTATGAGGTGTTTCGGCAGCAGCGTGTGGCGAACATGTATCGACATGCGTTGGCCAAACAGGTGAGTAGCCTGGCAGCCTAAAGCTTTCCTTCAATATGCCATTGACAATCGGATTCATTTAGCTGGCCAGCATTAAACAGCAAACTGCCAAAACGACGCTAATGCCGATCCTTGTAGACTATGTGCCGCGACCGGAAACGAGCGCCAAAGGCGTCTGGACTGGCGGCAGTGTGGCATACTTTGAGCGCAAGCTCAAAGAGCTAGAGGAGCAAAAGCCACAGAAGGAGACGCCAAAGGCATTGCGCGAGCGCAAAGGTTTCAAAGAGAATCAGAGCAAGCAAACGTCAATCGACAGTTTCCTTGTCAAAGTCAAGCAGGAAGTGAAAGAAGAAATGTCGCTAGATCCAACTGAGCCGACATGCTCGGTTAAAATAGAACCAGCAGAGGAAGCGGATGACGGGCCCATGAAGGTCGTGGACCCTCCCTGTGAGACAGCGTCAAAGACTGTAGTCGAGGAGCCAAAAGTGAAGCAGGAAAAACAACAGAGTGAAAAAGGAAGTCCTACAAGTGAGGAGCAATTGGAAATTGATTTTGGGCACAGAAAATACAGACTTAAGCCAAATGGCGATGGCAGCTACGATACGCACCGCAAAACGCGTGTCTCATACCTGGAGCCGGAGGTACAAAAGAAGCCAGCAAAGCCCACAGCCAGCTGCAAATTTAACTCAGATATTGAACCGGATCGAGATCAAATCAAAGAGGAAACGGAATCGAGCACAGAGTCAATTGGTTTCACAACTGCCCGTGAAATGTTGGCAGAAAAGAAGTCGCCGTCGGAGTTGAACGGTGAACAGCAGCTGGAAAAGAAGCAACCCGACCTGTCGCTATTTGGTGGCTTTACGACTGCGCGACAATTGCTGGAGCAAAAAAATATGCAATCAAAAATTAAAGCTGAGCCCCAAAAGGAAAAGTCTGCTGCGTTGCCGGAGCGCAGCGAAGAGAAGAAAAAGCCTGGGGCTCAGCAGCCAAAAATTAAAGATGAGCCACAAAAGGAGAAGTCCGCTCCAATGCCAGAGGGAGGCAAAGACAAAAGAAAACCGCAAATCAACCAACAAAAGAACGATGTCAGCAAATCTGTGGTGCAGTGGCTAAATCCCTACTACAAGCGCAAAATAGCCACCAGGGAGCTGTTCAAGGCCCTGGCCAAACTGATCACGCAACGCATCTGTGACGGCAGCCTAGGTAAGTCCTAGAGAAAACATTTAACGAAATATGGACCATAGTTAAATTAACTTTTTGCCCACAGGCAATGGCGATGTGTGCAAATGTTACATTAAAGAAACATTTCACAGCCTGAAAATGATTGAAAATGATCAGGATATTGAGAAATACTTTACGATTTCTATAAAATGAGCAGCTACTCGAAATGTTGTTAATATGTTATCAGTTATAAGAAATTTTTTGTCGTTAATTCATTGTAAATATTGCCTTTAATTTTTAATTCCTAAACAATGCTTGTGCCTTGTATCAACAAGCTTGCGGAAACATGTTCTAAATTGTCATTTTATGACGTTGAAGCCAAGCGAAGATTATGAAGATCGATTTTAAGATCCCGCATAGAAGGCACATATTCAATTAAAATGTTTGTGTTGAAATCCTTTCAAACTAAAACTAATTCAAATAACTATTCGATTTTCAATAACGTTTTCAAGTTAATAATTGAAGTAACTTAAATCATAAACTTGTTATCTAAAGGGAAAAACAGCTCTTACAATACAGAAAAAAAAAAAATATATATATATATATTATGTTTATTTATGTATGCATATATATATATGTTTATTGGCTTAAACAAATGAATTATTATGTTCGTTACTCCATTTTAATTAAAATTTTTTTTTGGTGAAAATTTATTTCTTTTGTTACAAAAATATTCGGTGAAAAAACTTATGTTAAGTAGATTAGAAAGAAAAGATTTCGTGATTCGTATTCTAAGGGCTGTAAGCGAAACTTCAACGCATATTTCTCGACTTATAAAAATGTCCTACAATTCGTTTTGTACATTATCTTTCAATGATGGCAATTATGATGTATATGGTACAGATTTTGACATGTGCTTCAGAACAATTGTTACAATTAGCTGGGAGTGGGTTAAGCTTACGTCTAAGCTCTGTAAATATTACAGTCACACTAGGCCAGAGACTGGAACGGTCCAACGCCATGTCATTCCAAATCGCCGTGCACGCCAAAGCGAATGGTTAGCAGGACGTCCAGCAGGTAGACCAGGGCGGTGACCAGCGATATGGATGCGGAAGCCATTACCAGATCCAGGCGATGCATATTGGGATGCCAGTAATTGCGATCCTTGGTGGTGCTCCAGTCACGGAACAACAGCGCCGTCACGGCCACAAAAAGGACGAAGCCCACCAGAGACCACAGCGTCGCGGTGCGCCAAGGCGTGCTGCAGAAATGTGGATAAGGATAGTTAAAAAATCGTTAGACTCGGGTTAAGTGTACGCACAGATCCCCAAACAGAGCCATGATCAAATAGATTGCCGTGTAAATCGCCAGTGCTCCAAAGGTCACATAACACAGCGCCATGACCCTGGGTGTGATGAATATACGCAAATGCGAGTTGGTTGCCGGCTCATCTATCAGTCCCAGGCAACATATCAGCAGACACTGGTAAGTAGAAGAATCATTTAAACCACATTAAGAAACTTTACAATACAAATATATATTAGAGATTTATGCTAGGACCCAAATTAGTATTCATTCAGTTTATTATATAGTTAAATAACCCAAGTGATACAATCCATAGGCACGACATAGTCCAATAGGATAGTATTTGTAAATTTTTAAAGAATTTGAGAATGAATAGTTATCTTTGGGTTGCCGAAGATTGGATAGGATTACTATAAACACCTAAAAAAGCTTGGGAGATTTGTTTCCCGTTGATGGAACAACGGAAAACGGAAAATATTTGTGTGTGTTAACATTATAGAGAGTATCTGATCGTATATAAAAAGAAACCAGAGTACGAGCTCGACAATGAAGCACGAGGCTACAATATCAAAGCTATATGAAGTCTGGAAGGCAATTCCAATTTGTTATATCCACAAATTGGTGATGTCTGTACCGTGATGTTTGCAACAAGTGATACATGCAAATGGAATGCATATATTTCATTGCTTTATTACATTTTTTTTGCCATATTTCTGAGACCTATAATCCATCATAGAGCTGTCACTCAGAGTTGTTTTTTGTAAACTATATTCCAGATAGAAATATAAAAATCTAAGTCTGTTTCTCCTTTAAATATTAGAACATCAGTTAATTCTAGTGTTAATATCAGCATTTGTTTACAACTTTATTAGGTAGGGTGTTAATTTGCTTTGTTGAACTTGACTCACCAGCTCCACCACTTTGATGGATATCAGAGTGTAGGTTGCCTTCTTGTTGCCACTTGTTGTGGCAAAGGAATTGTCATCCGCCGGCGACATTTCGACGCGTGAGATTTCTGTGGATTAGATGAATGCAATCAATCAATCAATCAATTAACGAACTGTTCAATTGGGCAATGGGATTTCGTTTAGATCAGTCAGCCAAGCTATCCATTTATAGAGTATAATAAGTACCTATTGAGCGCAAGTAACTCATCTCGTTCGTCTGGCTTAAGGTTTTCTTATTTTTTGTTTATTTATTTTAAACTTTTGTTTGATGGCCTACGAAGAACAATTTAAAGAATTTCTTCAGTATCTCTGGGCTTAGATGTATCTGCCATATTTGGCTCTGGGTTATTTGTTATACTCGTTATTAGCTCGGGTGCGCAGTGGAGCGTGTTGTATGCCACGCAATGTGCTGGGTATTTGTGTCAATTGTTGGCATCGGTCTCCCACATAACTTCCAAATGGGTTCGCAACTGGCGTCTAATTGATTGGCGGGACTAATTCCTAAGGGCTGTCTGGCTAGCGAATGATGTCATAGCTGGGTGTGGGTGCAATTCCAAGTGATTCCAAAACTATGCGGACTACGTACAAATGAGTTGTCTGGTAGATGATTCGACTGCCACAACTATCCCATGTTGAGGAATTCTGATCGCGTGTATTGTCCGGCTTTGCTTGTTTTCAATTTTTTACGAATGGGCCATATAGAAATCAGTTCTAGCTGGTATTACAAGGCTTTAACCAGATAGAGTTATAAACTTACATTTTAAGCATTACTACAACAAACACTTTCCATTCATGGCTAAATTAAATTATTTCACAATTATAGGAATAGTGCGATTCATGTCTTTATGCATTTTGCTTGTTAATCTAAAATTTGAAGTCGATCAATTCAAGACAAAATTGAACATTCCTAAACAGTTCAAAAGCTTCTACAGTTCGGGCTGTGTGTGTCTGTCGGTCAATCAGTCGCACCCGTCAGCTTCATGTATGTTTAGATAGCTATATCACTTTCAATAGTACTTCTAAGTCCCATTTAATGACGTGTTGATAATTACAGTTCAACCAATAAGCAAAACAATGCGACACTTGGCCAGGCCAACACTTTTGCCATTGTTGTTGTTTTTCCACAATACTCGTTATATTTCGCTGCATGGTTCAGTTATTCGGGGCATTCATTCATGCCCCATTGGCGTCGCGCATTGATTAAGACTAATTGCAAATAGCACGTACAATAAAATAAATACCATAAACGCAGCACAGTTGTGGGTGGAGTCGAGGCGCAGAGGGGGGCGCAGTAAACAGTTAACCCCGCCCGACCTGCATAAACAATTAAAATTCAAGCGGGAAAACCAGAACCCTAAACTCAAATTCAAATCAAAGTCGCGGAGAAAAACTTTCACCCAGGTTTGAGTAAGAAAGTCAGAGCACGGGTGAGACAGAGAGGGAAAAAGTGACTGAGCATTGTTATTGTTAGTTAACACTAATTTGTGGTACTAATAAATATTCTAGTGTCTAGGGTCTGAAGCTCTAAATGTGGCAAACAATTGCGTGTGCTTTGTAAAAATCAAAACAATACATCATTTATAAGGGAATTTCAGAAAGAGAAATAACGACGTCTGATGTACCCTATATACTTTCTTCTTGTTTTAAGATAATCTTACAAACTTATATAAATGCAAAGCCGTCTAAAACTGAACTTAAATAACATTTGAAGTAAATATTTATACTCTGTATATTTCTATGGGTAAAGCTGGTTACCTTAAATTTGACATCGAGGCTTAATAGGCTCTAAGATCGACGCGTATGGCTCGATCGACTTGGTTATTAATGTTGATCAAGAATATATATACCTTGTGGGGCAGGGGATGCTTTCTTTTGTTTGTTTCATACATTTGCAACAAAACATAATACCCTTTTTACCAATTTTCAATGGTTTCAGCGTATAAAATAGTTACAAATATTTTACGTCCTAAAGTTTTTTAATGTCGGTTTTTTATTTAAAGTCACAAAAAAAGCATTTCTCTTATTTATTATGTCATATTGAGTCATGATTCAGCTCGTTGCAATGCGATTAAATCTAGAAAATGGGGCTTAAGTAATTTTTGGTAGCAACTGCCGAGTCAAAATAATTTGTATAATGCTTGAATAATAAGTAATCGACACGACAACACTTTTCATGATGTTGCTAACAAATTTCTCACGTTTTTTTAGCCAAGCTAACCAAAAAGACGAAACCCCAAACAATTTAGAAAACAATTAAAAAAAAATTGTAAAAAGAAAACAAACAACGCAGCGAGCAAAACAACCACAAAATAATGTAAACAAATCGCTTGACCAGTTGAACGGGTTTTCACGGAGCAGAGAGTGTCGGGGGGGAAACGGCTCAAAAGAGAGAGAAAGAGAGAGTGAGAGAGAGAGAGAGAGGGATATGTGAGTGAGGCAGCCACACCTGTTTTGCGCTCGCGCAGCCACAAAACTCGCGCTCAGACACTCGCGCTCTCGCTCTCTGCTGGTGTGCCCAATATTTTGGCCAACAGTGTGTTTTAACCTCGTTTCGCTTTCTGTTGCAGGCATCTTGAAAGGGCTTGGCGGGCAGCCCTATAACTGGTCTGGTCCGATTGGGTCATCGACTTGCCAGTTATGTTGTTAATGTTCTTCTCCTTCTTCTTCTTCTTATTCTTGTTGTTTTGTTTGGTTTTGTTTTGGTCTGTCATTCTTGCAGACGGTATCGTGGCTTGTTTTTGCTGCTGCTCTTTCACTTTATTTGCCTAACTGCGGCTCATTTGTAAGCTTCCTGCGACAGCCAAAGGATGACAAAGTGTGAACATCGTCAAGATCCTCTCTGCATTCATTGAAAAGCGCAACAAAACTTGTTTCTCATGCAAAATCCAGCTCGGCACAGCTAAACTGCATTGATATGCACAGCTGGCCAACTGGCAAACTGGCTTTGGGCAGATACACGTTCAATGGGGCGGTTCGCGTAGGCGCCTACTGTACTTGGGCCGGGTTGCTGCTTAAGGGAAAACAATGAAAACTGAATTGCGATTTTCTAGCGCGCACTTTGTTGACCTCATTTGGACTCACACCCCCTCAACCTGGTTGGGTGTTAGCCGGTTCAGACATGCAAGTTGTTATTCTAGTTTGAGTTAAGGTAGGGATTGTTGGGCTGGAGCGGTTGCCTAGGCAGCCCCATTGGCGAATTCAATGACAAATCCACACTGAAGGTCAGTGTTAGCCGCCATTAAAGGGGCCTTCTAGAATAATACAGAGAGAATAAGAGCTTATCTAAGAGTTAGTACAAAAACTAAGCCTCACAAGCTAATACAATAAATAAAACATCGAACTGCTGTGTAAATAGGATGTTTAGATATATATACTTGAAATACAATTTAAATATTCCAAATCAAAGAGAAGCATTTATTTTCCTTCACTAAGATAAATTCTTTTTGAATAAAGAAAACTATTCTTTAATTGTCTAAAACAACTGTTTAAATAAAGAACTAATTTCTCATTTCCCCTAGAAATTTGAATGGTTGGCATTCCAGGCCTAAATCGTGTAGATCTCCTCTCGTGCTAGGCGCATTGTGAATCATAAAACCAACAATTTGTTAACTAGTGTAAATTGTGCATAATTAGCAAGTCAAATAATAACAGCAACAATTTGTTACGCTCCTCTTGTGGCTGTCATTGCTATTGGCTGTTTACTGTACCACAATAACAATTAGTTTTCGGGTGGGGCTGCACACTCGGCGAGAGCATCGATCTTGGAGATGAGAGCAAAGATCTGTGTCTTCGTCTCCTCCCCCAACTCCGAGTCTGGAGTCTGAGGCACTCACTCGTTTCTGATAGTAAATGATGCACTTTTGCGTATTGCCACAAGTTAGTTACGATTAATTTTAATTCATACAAGTTTTCATTGGCTGACTCTAAAACAAACAGGTTTTTAGTTCATGTGTGTGTGAGTGAGTGTGTGTGTGTGTGTGTGTGTGAGTATTACAACATATTTTACATTTGCGTACTTGGCTAATACTTATTAGAGGTGCAGAACAGTGCAGCCAATTTATGTTGTTAGCTTTTAGTATTCTTCACAAACACGTTTACAGTGAGACACAAATACAGATACAGTCTGAATTTCAAGCGCGCAATTTTATAGAAAATATGATTTGTTTTTCAATTTTTGTTCTGCTCAATCGGGAAAGTTTGAAACTGAAACCGACGACACGCCAACGTCAACTGTTGTAACGTACCTAAAACCCAAGCCGTACAGGCCCAAGCCCCAGCCCCAGACCCACAGACAGAGAGAGAGAGAGAGAAAAAGAGGGAGAGAGAACCGCACAAAGAGCGGAGCATAATGGAGCAAACAAAGAGAACAAGCGCTTGAAACATGTTTAGAAACCTTAAGCACACCAAATGCACAACTTATAAAATCTAGGAATAAAAATTTATAAATATAACATATTTAGTCAAAATGGCAGATTTATTTTTCAAATGTCAAATTTGGCAATAAAACTTCGATTTGAAGTGAGATTTTAAATTTGTAATATAGCCGAAATGACCACCAGTGTAATTTGCCAAGTTAGCCTCTTAGCCGAATTACAAACCATACAGTTGAACACTTTGACTAATATATCAGACATCACTACAATAGCCGAGCTACAAACCAGGCAGGCAAACACTGACTAATATGTGAGACGTCCCTACAATGTGCTAAGGTTGCTGACGTAGCTATTTCCCTTCTTACTTTAGGAACAAAAAAGTACCTTCGCTAATTTCAGGCCTGTCAATGGATTAGGTACTCTCGTGCTCTATACAAAAGCTTTACTTTTGAATATACCTATAGGAGTCATATATTATAGTAATTGGATTTTATAGGCTTGAGTGCCATTACGGCTGGGAAAAATATCCAGGGGAAGTATAAAAGCAGCACATCTGCGCAGAAAAGGGCGCTTAATGCGTATTCTTGGTCAATAACAGATCTCAGATGACCTCTGATAATCGACTACGACATATATCCCTTTAGTAGGCCAGACTACGGTTGGGTAATCATAGAACCATGGCTGTCTAATCGACTCATAATCATCTTCTGTCTATTTGACGCTTCCTTCGGAGTGGCTAGGGGTTATTCCAGACAAAAGTTATAAAAAAAATAGGTAAAGCTCAAGAGTGCTGTCAAGTCCGAAACTTGCAACTTTTTAAGCGTCAATCAGGAGCAATTCGGCTAACCGATATACTGTGGTCCCTGCAAGGATTAATGAGTTTACACTATAGTTCAAGGTTTAATGGGCAGCCCGTTTCCTTTTGTCTTGAAAAACTGATCCGAAATGATCATTTTGTTGTGGCTGACCAAAGTACACCCACAAAGGAAACTTCGCAACATTTAAAAACACAGTTCAAAAGTATTACTTTATTTTTTCGTTATTGTTTTTAACTCTCGTTTGTTTGTTTGTTTGCTTTTCTTTTTATCATTTAACAAAAATATACACAGCTAGAAAACTAGGAAATAAAAAACTTGAATAAATACATATTGGTTAACTGTACAGAGCATTACGAATTAGTTGTTTTATACAGATTACATTACGTGCCACCTCATTATAGAAACAACAAAACTTAAATACAGTCTTTCCGTTTACAGGCCACAAAAATAATTGCCGCTACTTAAGATTAACAATAACTAGCTACAACAACACAATGAAACTTATACAGAGACAGCTACGGTACGGGTAACTGAATCTATATGGACTCTACTCTCTGGACTCTTCTTCTATGTACAGTTTGGTGTTTTCTTCACTTTTGTTAGATTTCTGGGTTATATTTGTTTATTTATGTTTTCTAGTTTTTTACTTAACTCATATGAAAGACGCTCACATTGTTGAAACTTTATGAAAATAAGGAAAATCTAGTTCAAGTATTTTTAAGTTACATTTTTAAAGCATACTTTTTGGATGAAATCTTAAAGTGGTACCCTGTATTTGCGGGAGTACCCATATTTAATGATCTTTAAAGGGATGTGAATATCCTCGAATAGATAGCTTTTATATTAAGAAAAAACTATAAAAAATTAAAATTTGTACGGGAAAAGGATTGACCTAATGATCGGTTCCAAATTGGGAGCGTATAGCTATATGAGTTGTTTACCTTTCGGAGTTTATATTGGATACAAACGCCTAAGATCAATGCGTTTCATAACTCGCGATCGCGCAGCCTTAAGCTTAGCGGCGTCTTCGGGGCTAGCAGAAACTCAAATTCCGTCTCCAGCGGCTTGACAAAGCTGACATCAAAAGCCAGCACCATCTGCACATAATGGATAATATTAATATCTACCATATATTTGATCATTGAGCATCCGCGTTGACTAACCTTGGCAAGCAGCAGGACCACCTCCATTTCGACAAAACGCTTGCCGGGACAGGTGCGTCGACCCACGCCGAAGGGTACCACGATGCTGGCACTGTCCACGTTCACTGTAAAGTTGCCCGAGCTGGAGTCTATCCAGCGTTCGGGACAAAACTGTTTGGCCTCTTGAAAGTTGCTGTCCTTGTGGCAGGCGATCATATTCTGGCACAGCACCACAGTCTAAAGATTAGAGTGCCAAAAGAAATGAAATAAAAACTGTTAGAGACTACGATTTGCATATATCTTGCACAATTGCGTTGAGTACTCACGCCCGCATTCAGGGAGTAGCCGGAGAGTTCCATGTCCTCTTCGAGTATGCGTGCCAGGCAGAAGGCCGTGGGCCTCAGCCTGTACGATTCCTGAATGCACGCCTTGGTGTATGTGGCATTTGTGAGCGCATCCTGCAGAATGTTAGTGTCGCGATACTCAAGGAACTCGCCGAGTATGCGAGGCATAGCCGAAGCGTCTCCTGTCACGGAGCTGAGCACAAATAGCAGGGTGTTGGCTAGCTAGAGAGAGAATGAATTAAGAATAATAGTTAAGCAAAGAAAGACTCAGCTCCAAGCAGTACTCTAAGAAAGCACCAGGAATTTGGCGAAGGCGATGTTGAATCATAACTGGATTAAGATAAGCTTACCGTTTCAATACCCGCGGCTATAAAGTCAATAATGGCCGACTTCTTGTCCCGTATGTCCAACTCCTTGAGCTCGAGTATGTTGAGGAATACGCTGCGCAAGCCCGCCGCATCCTCATCTTCGCAGGCCGCCGATTTCTTGTGCTCCTCCAGCTCGTTGTCAATGATCTCCGAGATGACACTGCAAATACGCATTAGACATGGCTGCGATGGTAGCTTGCACATAAAGCATCTTATACCTACTCATAGATCAAGTCTTCGGCACGCGCAAACTCCCGGTACGTCTTGGTGGGAAAGTATTTCCACAGGCCCAGGCCATAATATGAATCGCGCTGCGAGATAAACAGCTGCTTGACAGCCGCCGCCAGTTGGCTTATCTTCTCCGGCTGCTTGGCATTGGCGGCCAGGAATCCCATTCGCCTGCCCAGCATCAAGGTGCAAACGGCTTCCAGACCCATCAGATTGGCCAACTCCTCAAAGTTGGGCACCACCTGGGTCTGGGGATCGCGTCTGGCACGCAGCAGTTCAACGAAATCATCGCAAACGGCGTTCAGAGCGGGCAGAAAGTTCTGCAGGATGCGCGGTGAGGTGATGCTGGAGGTGAGCGAGGAGCGCAGTCGCTGCCACATCGGTCCCTGCTCGTTGACTATCCCCACGCTGGCATAGCGATCGGGTCGGGATTGTCGATACATTACAATGATTTCGGTGGGCGGGCGAAAGGGATACTTGCTGGGATACTTGAGCACCTTCTCCAGATCCTCGCGCTTATATAGATGCACAATGGGCACATTCGAGGGCATCACCTCGAGCACAATGTCACCGTACTGTCGATTCAGATCTGCAGTGTGCACATCGAAGAGAGAAGAGGGCAGAAAGAAGAGAGAAGAATATTGGCATGTGCTCTTCAAAATTGTGAGAGTCTTTCACCTGCGTAGACCTCATGCAGCTTTGTCATTTTGTAGCGCCGATAGAATAAGAGGAATATCCATTTGGTGCCCAGAAATGGTATCCGCTGCGGTCCGGGTATATCCCAGATGCTGCGACGCTTTCGCTGCTCGATGGGCGTGGCATGATAACAATCCTCCAGCGGCGTATTCTTTAGCAGCGGCTTCAAGTAAATCGCACTGATCTTTTGCCTGTGAATCGCGCAATAGCAACCGAGTACAACTGCCAGGGCGAGCAACAGTATCACGGCCATTACCATCGGAGGCTATAAAGAGTGAGAGGTGGAGTAGTTGTTGGCGGACTTAACGCGTTTTGAATGCTTTTCATAAAATATTCTACTTATTTTATGCAAATCTTCTAGCACTCTAAACAATTTCAGGCCTTTAATTGAAGTCATGCACAGACCTCAAACCAAACCGGTCTCTGGCCTTACCTTAAATGTTGATTTATATGAAAATTGCCACTTATATTTGCTAATCATAGATTTTGCATTATATTTGGGAGCACGATAAGAACATTTTTTTGTGACAACCGAGCAAATGTCTTTCTACTGTAAGCCTCCAGATAAGATAAACCCAACAACGATACAGTTCAAGGTTGTGTGAAAAAAAAACCCTAAGACACTGTGACTTGCCAAAAAACAAAAAATTGGGGCAATAAACCCAAAAAGAGACTACAATTAAGATTGTATCTGACGAATATCGGGCTAGTAAAAGTGTCTACATCATAGAGAATATAAGATAAGATCCAACAAGAGCCTTGCATCATATACTCCAGAAGAATTCTTTAAATTCACTACACTCAAAATTGGGAGAGAGACTAAACGATGCCCTAGAGTAAACAACTTTCTTTTCTTTCACATTTATAAGTATTTTAGGTTGAACTAGAAAAAACAATCAACTTGCTAAATAGGCAAAAATATATATTCTTAAGGCGTCATTCCCCGAGACTGTCGTAAACTTTGTTGTGATAAACAAAACCCGAAAAAAACCCGAATATTTATTTGCGCATTGGCCCATTGAATTGTTGTGTAGAGAAATACTTGATTGGCATTGTGAAATACCAAAACCAAAACAAAAGCCAAAGCACAAGGCTGAGAGTAAAGAACAAAAACTTTCCCATCGTCTCGTCTTACATAATAAATTACATAATATGCTTTCTAATGTCGCATTCTGCTTGCCCAATGCTTTCTTCCCGCTGCCTGCGGCCAGTTTCGGAGCCGGTTTTCACAGTCAACTGGAACGGGGGCTTCTAACGCGGCTCTAACGACAAGCAACACGCGAAGACATTCCCCCGTTCGATTCCGAGTCGATCTATGTATATGCATATTAATCATGGTGCCGGCAACCGACGAGACGAGCTCTGTGTGTGCTTGGTAGAATTCGCAAGAATTCTTATTATAAAAGCGAGTTTTTTTTTCATCTACTTTATTGCTAGCTGCTTGGAAAAGTGAGAAGCGCTAAGAACGGCGCACGCGTCGCCCCAGAGATGAGGAAGTGATTAACAGCAAAGAAGGAAGTGCTGAACTGGCTATGATTTCTATGATTTCTCGTGTTTCAACTTTTTGCAAGTCACCCAACTAGAAGCCTATCGACTTAGAAGCCCCTATATGAGAAATCAGTGAACGAGTTGGCGACATCAGGGAACAGCAAATTGTTACGTAGCTAATCCGAAAATAAAACCTTAACAGAAATTGGCCTTATCTTAATTTCTGCGCAAATAGAATTCAACGCACTTTTGGGGTTTTATTTGATATAAGTTGTGTGTGACCTGGACAAATAGTTTTGTAGAGGTAGAGTATTGAGGAATCAATTAATCATTTTCAACATATGTTTTGATATATTTTTCTAGATTTATTTTTGTCTGCGCAAACACATTGATTTTAAGATAAGTATATCAAGCAATAGCTCTTATAAATGTATAAGCTGATTCATTCTTAAGATCAGTTTAAAGAGAAGTTAAATTAAATTCAGAAAGCTTCAGAAAGTTTTCCTTGATATACTCTTTGGCTCACGTAATTTGGTTAGTTACACTCAGAATTTCTCAGCTATTTAACAGTGAAAAATTCTAATTGGGCAGAAACCAAATTTCAAGCACTTTCGGATAGCTCACAGCCCACTGTATTGGGTCGCACGCTCCACGCGAACTGTTGCATTCCTTTGCTTAATTTGTTGATCATTTTTCAGCTTTCTTCAGTTGTATTTTTTCTTTGGTTTTACCTTACAGCTTTCGCAGAATGCTTTCCCGAAAATAAACCAAAAAATCCAAAAAGAAAAATGCACAATAAAAATGTAAATAATTTCGACAAATTCAGCAAATTAGTTTGCATTGAACTGATTCCTGTGGCGTCAGGCCGTCCAAGTCCAAGTGCAACCGCAAATTATTGTTGACACCTTCATAAAATTATTCAGCATTTGCTTAGTTACTTTGTAAAAACTCGTACTTATACAAGGCGACCTGCGAACGTTGCTAAAATGTGGCACAAAATAAAAAACATTAACTTAATACAAAAAACTAAAAATAAAAGAGAGAAAAAAGTGTTCTACCAATTAGCCGATATATTGTCGTTGTTTATTTTGCGAAATAAACAAGTTTGTGTTTTCATCAGAATTTACATAAAGTTTTGATCATATTCTTGGCTATTTTTTTTTTTTTTTTTTTTGATTGGCACATTTTTTTCTTCACACTTATGCAAATGAACCACACCAATAATAATAATAAAAATATATTATATTATTAAAATAAAAGCCACGCGATCCGCTGCGCAGTTACAGAAGAAGAAACCTCAGCCCAAAGCGTAGAACGCTCAACATCAGCAGATTATGTCACTACCGAGCATATAACATTGCACACGCAACGGAACCCAACCGAACTGATGGCTTCATGGTCACGGCCAAGTCTCAGGCCACAAACGGCCAACAGCTAGCCGGCCAACAGCCAGCAGGCCAACAGCCAGCCGGCAGCAGCCAGCGGGCCAACAATTTTTCGCGCATAGCGTTTGTCAGCTGTTCCGTGGAGCGATAGACGGCGATAGGCGACGGGAGAAAGAGAGGGAGCGGTTGGCCAGAAAGAGCTAGAGTTAGAATCCCAACCCATTAGCTAAGCCCTGTCCGACGTTTGGCCAAGTTCAATGTACGGCCAACGACGCGCCTGAGACAACTACAACTGAGCATGGGATTCTGTAGGCAACCTCCACCTACCTGGGCCTTAACACTCGACGCACACTTTTGAATTGTAATAGAGAAATAGAAAAAAAAAATAAAAAATAGAGAAATTTCGCATTAGATATTTGCTGAAGAGCCGCAGTCCCGAAGTCTGGTTATGACCAAACTAGCTTTGGGTTTTGTTGTCGTTGTTGCCGTTGATTACGTGAATTATTCAATAGCTGAAGAATCGTTAGAAAGGCGATAGAGAAGAAAAGTGTGAGAACTTTCAAGTGGAACCCGATAAACAAACATTGGACATTCTTTGAATAACAATGAGCCTGCAATAGCTAATATTATACCCATGGCTTAGAACTCCAAAGAATAGGATTAATATTTCGAAGTTAATGAAAGATAGTTTAAACAGAATCCGTAATACTTCTTGAAATTCAATATATGAATTCTTGAGCATTTCAGCAAATATGCTTCACGTTGGATCATGGATTATGTAAACAAAAGTAAATCTTGTTTTGATTAGAGACTTTTGCAATGAATATTCATTTAAAAATAAACACATTCCGTGAATGAGTATTTACACCCCATATTTTATTACCGAAACTCAGTTGAGACCACAATAATCGTTCCATTAACAAAATGTATCATCGCCTCGAAAATTGGCGGTCAATGCACGTTATTTAAAAAAAAAAAGACAACGATAAAAATTGACAAAAAAAAGATGAAAAATGTAAAAAGTAAAGAAAAAGGAGCGACTGACATTCACTTTGAAAATGTATAAAAATAAACAATACTTTATTTGTGTTTATTACAAATCAGGCTAACAATAAAGTTGGGCTTTAATGTTGTATGATAAAACTTTTTAATGTTGATAATGAACTTGAAGTAAATGGGCCTTTGAGAACATCATAAACATGATAATTATAAAGAGCAGGCAATTTGGCAAATTTCTCACTTAAAGGCTGCGTGGTACCGTCTGATAAATAATAATGAGTAATTAATTAATTAATAAATAAATAAAAATGAGATTCAAATGAAGCAATTGGCAAAATACCCGCTTCCACTCTGAAGCGAGAGCAACAGCCGTGAGAAGAGCTGAGAAGTTAATTGCAATTTAATGTTTGCCAAAGTTAAATAAATGTTTATTTATTAAATATACACATAATGCATATATATATATATATATATATATATATATATATATATATATATATACATTTTACTTATTTTTTGTATGATTTCATTTTGAAGTTGCGAACATTTAATTATAATTTTTTGATTAACTGCGGTTTATGAACATTTTTATATATGGGGCTTACACTGGAAAAAACTATTCTGCAATTGCAATTTTTAGGTTTTCAAATTTATGAAAATACATGCGAAATCTTATCTTAAGGAATCAAACATATTAATGCTTCCTCTGACAGCCTGACTGACAGCCTGACTGACAGCCTGAATATTAAATACTAATATTAAGTTCGACCTTGACCCATTTTATCTTAAGAAATACCTAAAAGCAGCACACACTCTACCATATCAAAGCTTAACTATCATAATAAGCAGTTTATTATTAATCCTTTCAAAAAAGGCCTGCTGATAGCTGATCCAGTTTTCCCTATGATCTTTCCTTAATTATATTTTCAAACCTACTAAAGTTAAATAATCTTCCATATTTCTAATCAATATTCCTTTGAGCACGTCTATTTATTTAAGTGCACGTTTTTATCTTTCTTAAACTCTCAACTTACCTTGTTTTTTGCGTATTATTTTTAAATCCAATAGAAGATCCGTTCTGTAGCTGTTGCTGTTGTTGTTGTTGTTGTGGTTGTTGTTAATGGACTTTCAACTAGCATTTTGGGCATTTTTGTTCACTAAATTAACTTATTTATTTATTGACAACATTGCACTGCAGAACATATATTTATATATATGTGTAAAACTATTATCACTAACCGGCATTTGAATTGATTTTAATTATAATATATATAAAACTAATTGATATTTTCTTTTTTCTAGAATATTTTATAAATATTTTAGCTATATTGCACATTGATTATATTTGTTGCTATTAAAGCTCTTTATTGCTGCATATTTTCTTCTTCGATCTGCGATCTCTCTAATCAAAATCAGAAGCTCCGTTCGATGTTGTTCTTCTTGTTGTTGTTGTTGTTGTTGGTAATGTCGATCTCGACATGGTTCCGAAAACAATAGAACATGCTGAACTTTATTGTTAATCACATCCAGACATTGCACTTTTGCACTCGTGCTGGAGATTCGTAGTTTCTGGCTGCCTATTGTGTGTGTGTGTGTGTGAGTGTGAGTGTGTGCAATCAAAACCGCATCCGTATCCGTTCATTAGAAATATATGCGTGTGCTTAGCTTCTAGCGTTCTCCAAACCCGAAACCGAAGGAACCCAACAGACAGAATCAGAATCCGATTCAGAATCCGAAACAGTAGCAGTAACCACAGTGCCCGCTGCGATGACAACTGCGACGCTTAGTCAAAGACTGACTGAATATGAATGGGAACGAATGTTGAGTCCACAGTTAGCGACGACGACCACGATGTACGATCGTTTGAGCGGCTCGGCAATGCGATCGCGAGCAGCTCTTCAACTGATTTAATAACCAAGCACCACAACAACAACAACATAAACAACGGCAGCAGCAACAACAACAACAACAGCAACAACAACAGATGCAACAAGTGGCTGAGATTCGGATCGATCGTGTTGATCGGCTTTCATGTGATCGTGCAATCAACGATTGACCGACCGACCAGCTGTTCGAATCCGTTTTGTGTGAGTAAGGCAAGGTTCTGTCAGTATGTGTGTGTGTGTGTGTGTCAGTGTGTGTGGGGTCTGGTCTCCCGGCAGGCGATGCCGCATGATATGATAGCATCTCGTGTCTGAACCATGTTGCCTACACTCTCTCACGCTCGCCACAGACAAACAGACGAACAGACTCTCGCGTCCTCTCTCGCTCTCTTTGTGGCTCTTTGCGCTCGCTCTCCCGCTGATAAGGGGACAACAACAACAAGTGCGCTGCTGTCGTTTGACTTCTCGCTCCGCTCGCTGTTTGCGTTTGTATTTTGTTGCTTTGTTGTTTTTGTTTTTTGTTATTTTTTTTTTTTTTGCATATAAAATCTCAATGAAAGTTTGCCAAGAAACAATGGAAGCCAAGGCGTTTTGTTGCTGTTGTTGTGTGGCTTATTGAAATGTTTACATCGAGAGCTGCATTTATGCAACACATTGGCAGGCGGCGACAACGACAGCGACGGCGACGGCGACAGCAGCAACAGCAACTACCTCAATGCGTGGCCGCGTGCGCTGCCCGGTGGTGCCTCTCAGCGAGCAGCTTGGCGTGAGGTAGGTTGGATTACAACTACGACTACGACTACGACTACAACAACTGCATAACTGGTTCGTCTAGGCAGCGGAATCAGCTGTGCTCCGTCTGGGCTGTCCAGATGTCTAGCTGCCTACAACAATGTTGCCGCCTACTGGCTGCGATTTGTGCGTGTGAGCGTTGCCCGTGTAGCTGAGCGGTCGGAGACGAGACTGGAGATGTAGATGGAGATGGAGGTGTGGCGGGCAAGGGATCGTCATATATATAGGGAGTTGGTGTATTGTGTGATGGGCAGGGGCAGGGGCAGGGGCAGAGGCATGGGGGATGGGAGATCCGTGTGTGCGCGCTAATTGTCTTGATTGAGTTTTAAATTAATGCGAATTTCAGTTGTAAGTTGTGGGTGTTGCTGTTGTTTTAAGTCATGCGATAGTACAATGTAAATGCCACACACAAATGCATGCATGCACACATGAATTAAGTGTAGTAAAAACTGAATAGAGCGGCTTGCTTAGTTAGATGCAGCAACTAGAGTAACTAGAGCTAGGGCCACTAAAAAATTTTAAGCTAGGAATGGATTAGATTGGTGTGAAGAGTGAAGAAGGACTCAAAGCACGCTAGTTAATTGGAGGCATGTCTATTCCTTTATTATTATTGAAGAGTATGAGTATATGTGTATAAATTGGCTATCCATCTTTGGTTAAAAAGCACTACCTCGAAAATCTAAAATCGGGGATCCTTCTTGTTTAAAGGTATATTCCAAGTTATAAGCAGTAATGTGTGTGCCAGAATGTTAGAAAAGAGTTTTCTATTCATCAACTGAAGAGCTCATGCATTTGCAATCTTTGCAGCTTCCCATTCATTCTAACTTGGCGCTTCCTTTCGTGTGCTGACTGACTTTATTGACTTCTAAGTAGCTCACACGCTTTTATTAATGCCACATCTTGTTATGTATCCTGTCGATCAACTTATGGCAGGGCCAGCAAAGATCATCAGCTCGTGATTATGTCTCATCCATTGGCTGACTGGGCTAACATACGGAGCAAATGAGTGACTGAATGAGTGAATGAATGACTGACTGCAAGCTCATGGGCTTTGCATTATTAATTAACTCGACTGCTGTTGGCTGCTTCTCTTTGTAAATCCAACCATTATTCCATACCAGACTGCCTGCCTGCTTCGGCTGGTTGCCTCGCCTGGTGCCCTCTCCACTTGGGCTGTCTCCTCTTGATTTCGGTCTCAATCTCGGCTCGGTTGGTCAGTCAATCAAAGGCAAAAACAAAAGGCAATGCTGTTAATATTTTTTTTTTCAATTAGCTGTGTACGCAACACACACACATACACACACACACACACACAAACACGCACCGCCACAACAATAACAACAACAACTACAATTAACAACAGCAACAAGCCTCTTTTCCAACGAACAGGTTTCTCACGCGCTGTGGAGGACGCCAACGTTCTATGCCTGGTTATTTGTATTTTCAAGATTTTCATTTGAATTTTCATTTTACGACAAGTTTCTTCCTTAGGGGCTTAAAACTTTTTCTTCTGCTTCTTCACTACTTCTAATATTCAGATTCGTATGTGATCGAGTCACTCAGTTTATATGTAAATGAAGGCTATCCGACTCGCCAGACACAAAGTTCTTTTCAACGCGCCCGCCGCGACACTTTCGGCTCGCATCATTTTATGGACTAAAGCGTAAGACTTGGATCGGGTTTTGCGCCGAGTCGCCGCTTCTCTTGCTACAGCAATTGCAATTGGGGGAGCTGCCTTTGATGGAGCCTGAGCTCCGCTTGCTGCCGCCGTGTCAGTCCCAGTCCGAGTCTCAGCCACAGCCGCAGCTTCAGCGTTCCCTTAACATTTAATGAGCATTAACAAGCTGCACTTAAATGCAATAACAACAACAATTGATAACAAGCAAGAATGCTCCATTTGAAGAAGAGAGCATGAAGCTGGTTAAAGAGTTTAGACGATCAGCCGGTGCCCTGCACGCAATCGCTCTTCTTTGCGATTCTCATGAATGAAAATAACCAAAGTAGGCTTTGCAATTGAATGCTGATATTTTTGTTCCTTATTACCCGACTAATTTAATCCTAATAGGTAATCGAATACTTTTCAAAACCAGTGTTTTGATAAGCATCAAGAATTACTCGATATTAAGCAGACTGGTTAAGTAATCGGGAATTCTTGCAACTATTTTTAATCGACAGCTCGATTTGATCGCCTATTTGTAATCGTATTCAAAGCTATGTTTCATTGTGAAATCGATAAATGAATAATCGATCTCTTTATTTTATTACGGGAAATGCATTTAAGGACCTACTTACCCACATAATGGAGGTGCAGGGTGCATTGCAACAACTACTCACAATCAGCTCCACGCTGTCTGAGTGCACGAGCATAAATACTAGTACTCGTAATGCGTATACTCGTATGTAATCGTGTTGATGTGAGTGTTTCGCTTGATTAACACGAGCTGCAAATTCATTTTGCCTTGTTGTCTTCCTCTGTTTATTGTATTTATGTGTAAGTGGGCAGCAGGCAGATGCTTGCGGCGGCATCCTCGACAGCACTTGAGTCCAGAGCCTGCTTCGATGCCAGCATTGTGCCAGTTGTAAGCGGTAAATCAATGCTGAGGGCCATCGCAACATTTACGGGTATGTATGTGACCCAATGATCTACAAAGGGCGCGGGCGCGGGCACCGGGTCTATAAGTTGATAAGAAAAGCGAAATCTATCAGACCGATTACTTCAGAACGAATCGGAACATAATCTACTATTACATGACCAGGGGCCCTACTATCTACTCTACACACTCGCGCACACAGCTGCCCATTCATTGAAGCACTCACACACTTACGTGCGAGAATAAGTGCATCCCCCTCTCCGCCGATTCGGATTCCCATTCATTTCCATACATTGCACGCAGTCGTCGTCGTTGTGGTCGCATTGCTTGTCCTTGAACTTGACCCAGCAGCGTTGGCGAGCGGCCCTTTTTTATTATTATTATACAAGTGTACACTTTATATTATAATTAATAAATTGTAGTCTGTGTGGATCTCTCTTCGAATCTGTGCGAGGGGCTACTTATCTTTGAAGTGCTGCTGTGCGCTGTTTGTCACTCGCCAGTTTCTTGTTACAGATTGTTATGTTGTTTCATCTTTATTTTTTGTACTCTTATTTCTTTTCGTTCTTTTTTTGCGTATTAAACTAATTTCTCTGACACTTAACGTGTTGATCTTTTGCACTTCGGACTGATAACTCTCGACACCTTTTGCAAAATATTGCATATTTTGACTTTTATACTATATAACAATTGAAAAATTGATAAACAGAGGTAGATGTGCATTCAGTTGTGTATTATGAATAAAGATGGTAGACATTGGCCTAGTCGACTTCATAAAGTATAAATATCCCCTATCACAGAAGA